GCCCCGGCGGGGGAGGGGGGTCGCGCCCCACGTCACGTCGCCGACGTGACGGGGGCAGTGGGTGTCCGATCGAGCCGCCGGGCGCCCGGAGGCGCCCTCCGCCGTGAACGTGCCCACCCGTGGGGGAGAGGCCACCGCGCTCCGCACTCGCCTTGAAGGGAAGGCAGCAGAACTTTCACTGGCCACGAGCAGGTCACGTTCTAGAATCTGCCGTGGGCGAAGGAGCAACTTCCAGGGAGAAGGCAAAATCGGAAGTTGGAAGGTCCGTGCTGCCTTCCCTCGGCCACCGAGCCAGCACCGCCTCCGCCAATCCGCGGCCCCTACGTCTCGGGCCTGCTGCGTGGGCTCCATCGCCGGACCCCGAGCGCGCCCGGCGCCTGCTGCGTGGGGAGGAGACGGAAGAACGCACGATACCCCGATTGCGGAGAAGCACGATCACATCTCTCGGCTTCTTCCCCTGCTGCAGGTTTCGACATGAATCCGAAAGCGCCTCGCAAGCCCATTCTTCACGGGAGGGGACTGCGGGGGGGCCGGGGCTCCATCCGGACGGCTGCGCGCCCCTGCGGCCGCGCACACTCGCGCGCTAGCGTGTCCGCGGACACTGCACGCCACATCTGTGCACATCGGGCGCCTGCGAATGTGCGGGGCGGAGGACTCGCGGGTGCAGACACATGGGCGCATGCACGCGCGCGCGCGCACGCTCACTCCAAATTACCTCCGGGATGGAGAAGGCCGCGGCGATTGGCCGGCCGAGCCGTCACTCACAGCCAGGGGCAGGGAGCCCTTCCAGGCTGTTTCCTCTCTGGCAGCCCCCCCACCCCTCCCTAGGTTTCATCTAATGGTGGAACCGCGGCGGAGCCCAGAAAGTTGGCCCCCTGCGCCCGGGGAGTTTGCCGGCTTTGACGAGGGGGCGTCAGGCGATATCCACGTAAATGTGCGCGGAGCCTCCACCACGGACGGAAAGGGAAAGGGGCGCTCCCGGCGGGGGCAGAGGGGAGCTGCGAGCGAGGAGGAGGGTCATCCGGAGGGTGGACGCTGGCGAGGAGTTGTTCTCAGCATCCAGCGGGATGCTGACCTCTCTTGGATCTCGAAATCAAAATGTTTCCACAGGTCGGATTACAACAAACGCCGGTCCGAATTCGTGAACTCGTGATTTCGATTTTATTATTTAAGTATGCGCCAGCACTCGTGTTCCCTTAAGAAAGAACTGACCCGTTTCTGGCTGCAGATAAACGATCGTGTTAACAGATGTTAATCTTGTAATCTGTTTTTCTTGCAAGCACTTTACATCCGCGGCTTTTAGACCTTAAAAATAACATCTTTTCCAAAAGGGCCTGACGTCACAATTCACTCCCAGAAAATCCTCTCCCCTCTCCAGTTGCTTCCCTCCGCGATGATTTCAAAGACATTAAATCTTTTTCCCTTTATAAATGCTGATTTGTTCTGCCTCAACTCCCACAGGCTTTTATTTGCATTTCAAATTCCACAGGTTACACCAGTCGCCTTTTCAAAAACTGTAAACCAACAATGAAGCAGCAAATGGCTTTTTGTGCATCTGGATTAAATAAGGCACCGAATGAATATATTTTTCAAAGAGGGCTGAGCAAGTTGATCTTTGCGCACCCGGAGACCAAGTAATTCTTTATCAATAAGCCGGCAGACTTACAACCTCAGAAGCAGCTCGTCTGATCGGGGCTGCCCCGGGAGCTTATTAACGCTGATGATAAATGGGGCTGACTTACAGACCCCCATTTTTCGGGTAAAAGGCTGGTCCCTAGCTGCAGGGGCTCCCTGGCGGCCCAGCCCACCACCTCTTCCTCGCCGCCACTGCTTTCCAGCCTTTCGCCATAAACCGCTGATTTAAATGCTAACTCGGCTGGCTTTTAACAAACTTATCCACCCAAAGTTTCTTAAAAACTTGACGAGGCAGTTTTAGCTAAACACTGATCGCAGCTATTCGGTAGGTCGGATCTCCCTGGAAATGGCAGGCAGGGCGCTTTTCGAACATCCTCCCCCCACCCCCACACACACAGACACACACACACA